TGTCCCTACTGCGGGCAGATGACCTCCAAGTGGGCAGTGAAGAGAGCGTGTTCGAGGCGATTAGGTTGTGGGTCAGTCCGTGTGGCGAGATTGATGAACTTCGAGTGGTCCATGCGGCAGCAATGATGAAAGAAGTACGATGAAAGGCGGGTCGGAGACCCGTCCCGATAGCAGCTGTCCAACGGCGTACCAGGCAGAGCCTCGTCTCGACGATGCCGGCGCAGTGGTTCATCCGACCATCCATCCAGCGGAGTCCGCGATGCCCTGTGCGCTCGGCACAACGGCCACAAGGCCCCCTCACCTGGTTAAGCCTGCCGGTCGAAGCGGTTGCCCGGCGTGTGGCCGCTGAGCAGAGCCCAGCAATATGGAGCCACAGGTGAGATTTGGGTGCTAGCAAGAGGACGCTAGGCGTAGTCTCACCTTTAAGCAGGTGAGCGACCACTACGACCATCAAGTGAACCCACCGCTGACACCCCTACACCCCCCCCCTCCACACACACAACAACAACAACAACAACAACAACAACAACAACTGCTACTACTACATCGATATTCTGCAGTCCTCCAGTCACTGCGTCAACTGATTACTGATTTCGAAGCTACGAGCAGGCAAACTCAGCAGAATTGTATTTTACTTACCTAGCGGTCGCTTACCTCATGGTTTCCTGCGAGGTAGCATCGGAAGCCTCGTCCGAGAGATGACAAGGCGGGGATCCGTCCGACCGCCAGCGTCGCAAATCGCCTTTATCTCCAGCACTTTTTGTCGATCTCGTTTCCGGATGAGAATCTGGTCCAGCTACTGCCAGCTTTGCGAAGGGGTGGGGGGGGTGCATCCACGTTGCCTCCTTCTATGTCGAGAATCGGAGAGGAGACTGTTTTTTATAGGGGGTGCCTAGAAGGAGAAGGTTGTTTTCATTACAGCTGCATAGTCCGTGCGGACCCAGCACACCCTTCCAGACAGTTTGGTCTGTCCCGATGCGGGTATTGAAGTCTCCAAAGACAATCAGTTTTTCTGCCTTCGGTACAGTCACCAGGAGGGCGTGCAGAACGTCGTATAACTTGTTCTTCCGATCATCGGAGCTGGTCGTTTAGGGCGAGGGGATAGGCAGTATGAATATTTATTTGGTATGTCGGAAGTGGTGTGGTAAACAAGACGGCGATTCCCAACTTAGAAGTCAGGGAAAACGGCTTGATTTGGACAACCGTTACTGCTGTGGCAGTGCGTACACAATGGCTCTGTAGGCAGTCGCCGCGAGCGCGCTCCCCAAGCAAGTTGTTTGGTCAGTGTCCGTCTTCGAGGTGCTCAGACCCAGCGCGTGTGCGCATTTCGTTGTCTCAGCGTCCGCCAGCCAATCAGAGGAGGGAGAGCGTTGATTGCCTTCGAGCACTCACGAGGCTAGTGACAAGCCTCTCGCGTCCCAGCAGCGTTTCGACAAGGAGTGTGAGGCGGACAGGACGTCGGCGTGACAAAACGGCGGAGAGCAAGGCGACGCGAAATGCCACGGGTACACAGACTGACTGGTCTGCCGTCATTCTTACACTAGTTTTCATGCAAAAGAGCTTTAATTGTTTCGATTTCCGCTATCTGTGGCATGTGTGTGAAGACGGTAAGAAACAACATCTTTGAAAATGTTTAAGTTGTAATGCTCTTTAGTCGATGAAAATAATACTGAAGTGAGCTGGCCGTTGTTCACCTCCTTTTCCTTTTTCTCCTCAACCGGGAGTTGAACGTTCTCGTGTGAAATGCTGAAGGCTAGTAAAATATGTTAGGATATTGAATTTGGACGTGAAGTCCCTGAGTAAAACAAGGCTTCACTTTTTTGGAGACTGTACATCGAATGGTGATTAAAGTAGTCAGCAGACTGAGGTTTCTGCCTTATGTTAAACGACTAGAATAGGCTAAAAGTACTCCTCTCTTTTAAAGGCAATAGAGGGGCCTTCTAACTCGCCTGAATACGCATTCCTAAATGCAGCTCTGCTCCTTGGGAATTATCGGTTGCCATTTCCTTCTTGTGTTTTGTTAAACTGTGTCTGTCTCTAATAGCAAGGTAGCGAAAATGGAGCTAGAATTTTTGCGGTCATTTCGAGTCGTCGTTTTTTGGTTGTGAGTTTCGTAGGGACGGCGTTACCAAGGGTGCAAGTGACAGCGTGAAAGGCTAGTCTAGCTGATGTGGTGCTTGATTGTGCGCGCGTGTCCCTGGGAGCCATCTGTTCTACCACGCCTCCGTGCGCTCACTTTATCGCTGGCTGACGTCCTATAATGACGGTAGTTCTCCGGCGTTTAAATTCCACAACGACTCTCCCTACGAAGAAAGTGCGTCGAGATAACAGGTGCCAGGTGGCGGGCCAACCTTTCGTGAGTCGTTGCGCAAGTGAGCAGTACGCTCACGAACGCCGCATATGCATTTAAACAGTCGTCTGAAGATCTTCTGGCCATCCAACCCGGACTTCCTGTCAAACGCGCGCACATTGTTGGGTAGGTAAAGCTGCTCCGCACCGCTAACGACTATGGGCATTAGTATGTTTATTTAAGACTGATAAGACAGCTAGGTGGACACCTACGCATCCCCTGTCAGCCATGGCCGTCGGATGAGACAACCGTATGTCGCACTGCGTTCTCGCCGCCAAGGAGGTCAAATCCGCCGATACAAGGATACCCTGAAGTCCTCCCTGAAATGTCTGTAAAAAAAATCCGACCGGCAGGTAAGACCTCGCCCGCGACCGACCGACCTGGAGGAGGCCACTGAAGGCGGGTGCTTCGATCTACGCAGACGGCCGCATTACCGTCGTCAAAGCCAAAGCACGCAAAAACCCTGCTGCGCCACTTCGCAATGCCAACGCACAAACTACTCCAACGTGTCCGCGGTGTCCACGGACACGAATTAGACTAGTTGGACATCTCCGGATCAACTACGCCGCTCGGACGGCACCAAACGTCGTCCCTCCGCCCAAATCTCCCTCTTCTTCCACTCCACCAACTAATTTTGACCGTTCCCCTGAATCGCCCCTCCCATCCTCCTCCTCCTCCTCCTCCTCCTCCTCCTCCTCCTCCACATCCTCCACCTCCTGTTCCTTCTCATCGTCCTCCGCCTCCTTCTCGTCCGCCACCTACTCCTCGACCTCCGTCTCCGTCTCCTCCTCATCCTCCTCCGCCTCTTCCTCCCCGTCCTCACTGCCCCAAAGATGGCCGTTCAGGCAGCTGTCATGCACATCAACACTACACACAACACGACACACACACCACCACTACAACCTCCGACACCAGAGATGAAGACCAGGACTGCACCTGCCCTCAGTGCGACGGCATCTTTAACTCACGCATCGGCCTGGTCGGTCACTTGCGGATCCATCGCACAGAGACTGGCGAACTAATGCATGAATCAGCCATCCAAACCCACCGCCGCAACCGCCTTCACTGCCCACACTGCGCTCGCACATTCATGCACCACATGGGCCTATTCGACCACATGCGCACTCTCCCTAACCTGCGCTAGACAACCGCCGTCTGCGCCACACCATCACACCCTCCCTCCCTTGCCACTACCGCACATCAACATCACCCACCGCAAACACCCAACTGCCACCTCCCACGCAAGTGGCAAGTGTGCGTCTCGACTCGGGCTCCAGGCGGCTCCTGCAGCACGGGCGGCTCGAGTATGAGATTATCCGGACGCGTCAAACGTCGTGGATAGGAAGGGTGCTGATTGACGTGCCCACTTGGACCGCGCAGTCCGGCCAGTTGTTGAGTGGAGTGGCGGACTGGTGGGCTGGGAGACGGGCTGAGACAGCACCTTCTATGGCACTCTGAGGCATGTGAGAGATACGCCGTTCAACCTCCGTCGAGTGAAATCCTGGTGCATGTGTGTCTGGGGGCCAGGACGTGCATGTGGTGCGTGTAGACAAGGTCACTAGACCATGTCGGCCACCGCGCCCATTCACTGCTGCAGTCTGTTGATCGGCTCGGACAATGGTTGGAGTGTGGGAATGGGAAGGGAGAGTGTGGTCGACGACTCAGCGCACTTTCTTCCTCCCTAGAAACAATCTGACTCGCTTGAGGTCATCACGGTGCGCTAAAAGTCGTGGCTTGAAATGTTGCCAACTGATGTGATAACTTGAACCTCGCAGTCGGCTCAGTGTTGTGTGTTTGAGTGGAGTGGTTGGCTGGTGATCTGAGCGTCAGGCTGCAATGGCTCCCGCTTAATGTGGCCTCTATGGCAATCCCACTGTGTGGGATCCGAGCCAGGCGATTGCGGCACGCCAAGGGGCGGCTGCTTCGGCATTGCCAGCCTCCAAATCTCTCTTGTGTTGGTTGAAATCCTGGTTATTTGTTGTGTGGACCAGGGGGTGCGGTGGAACGCCAAGGTGAGGATCCGTCCGAGCCATCTACCTGCGGCCTCTCTCGTCTCCGGTCTTCTTGACTCTGTCTTGACACCGGGCTTGGGCGAGGGAGGAGGAGAGTGTGTAGGTAGATGCCACGCAAGTCTATCGGCACTATAAACCCCTGCGTAAGTCACCGTCCTTGCCCCCGTTGCTGCTGCAACTGTGGGGCATACGGTGGACATCATCGAAACCGATGGTCGAACTGTCATTGATGGTGACATCAAAACGTCTGCAGGAAGGGCATTTCATGTTTCAACCGCTCAAACATAGTTGGAGATCTTCCGCACATCCGGCCTTGCCTGTTGAGTACGCAGTTTAAACGGGTGACCTCGGAGGTTGGTCGTGGTAGCAAATTCAAAAAGTCCTCGAAGGCCAGGCTGCAATCCAAACCCTTCGCTATGCACAATGCTTACGAGAGATCCCCGCGAAGTTGCCTGTAGCTCAAAGGGAAGAGGTTCAGATTTAATAAGCGGGTTGCATAAGAAAAGGAGCTTTGACTCCTAACCATCTTCGTGGCTCTGCTCTGAACTCTTTCGGTGCAGTTTTGATCCTCAACCGCCCACGGTCTCCAGGCGCGTATGCCGTTCTTCAAGTGCGGCCGGACGAATGTTACAAAAGTCTTAGAGAAAGCGTCTTCGTCCATAAACACAGGCTTGATGGCGTACACTACGCACATTGTGCTCTTTGCCACTCGCGAGCGGATGGTTTTAGGGAGCTCGTCGTCAGCACTCCGAGGTCCTTTTGGGCTTCGACGTCTCGTAATGCTGTACCGCCCAGAAAGTACTCTCTTGTGCTGGCGGATCTGGCTGTGTTGCCTAGGCGAAGTATCCTACATTTACTAACGTTGAACCTCAGGTGCCAACGGTTTGACCACTCCTCCAACCGATTTAAGTTCACCTGAGGTCTGTCTTTGTCGACAGGGCCTCGAATTGCAATCCATATCTTCATGCTGTGGGCAAACATTGCTGCTTCGCAGTCTGAAGCTCTTGCGACATCGTCCACGTATATCAGGAATAAAATGGGTCCCAGTTCTGAACACTGGGGGACACCACTCTCGACCACAGCGGGATCTGATTTCCCTTGGCCGATGCACACAACCTGGTGTCGATCCACAAAGAAATTTCCGATCTATTTGAGGAAGTTGCCACCGATCCCTATTTTTTTAGTTTGTGTTACAGCCTCTGGTGTGGCACAGTGTCGAACGCCTTCTGGAAGTCGGTGAAAGCTACAGTGCGTGACCTAATTCATGTAATGTGTGGAAATTTACGAATGATTGCCAATCACTCGCAAACCGAAAAAATTTCACGAGTCAAGTGTCTATGTTAATTAAGTACAACTTTAGAGGAATTAAAAACATAATAGAAACATTAAGGGCATTTTTGCGTTGTTTAGAAATTCCGATTTATTTTGAAAAGCGCAATATCCCGAAAACATCAGAAATGGCTCTAATTAAGTAAAGTTCGTTTTTAGATGTATAGAATGCATTCTCATATCAAAAACATAGTAAATATGAAAGTAGACATAAAATAATGTCTAATAACAGTGTTTTAATGAAGTTAACATCTAAATATCCTTTAATAAGTTGTGTGATTTCATATATGATCGTTTGCCAACTGCCTAAATTCTGAGTGCAGATTCCAAAACAGTCTTCCGGTCATTAGTGTTATTTTTGGCGCACATGAAGTAAATGGGATGGGTTTCAACAAGAGAAGCTGGAATTTGCTTGATTTCACCGATTGGGCTGCCGTAGGAACAATAGTTTTCATAAGGTTACATGCCATAAGGCCGGTCGGTGCCTAATAACTTTAAATAGAACTGACAGGCATGATCGAAAACATACCATTTACTGTTTTTAGAGAGGAATTTCCTTCCGTTAAATAAATTTACAGTTTTCGTTCGTTTTTGATTACGTTGGGTTTCAACTCGGTCTCCAAATATTGGTGAATACTTCCTGATTTTCGGTGCTTTCACCCGATCGCTCATAAAGACAGATTAAGAATTACCTGTCTGTTGAGAACTGTAAAATAAGTTTGTTCTTGAAGGAATTTACCAAATTAATGAGTGTTCGGACGTTCCTTTTCACGAAGATGGTGGTTTGGGTCACATGTGAAGACTCATTCAAATATCAAACATCATTTTCGAGAAAAATGGCTGTGCATAACGAAAGTCAGCAACGAATATGCCTTCGAACAATATGAAAACTTTCCTTAATAAGTTACCTTTTTAAGAAGTGCTATATTACTGCGCTCCGTTCACGGATCTCTGGGTACTTTGCATTTGTGCATGGCGAGGCCAAGTAAAAATTTGACACTTTTGGCGGTTTCTTTCGCGTTTCGAAGCAATATTAATATTTTTCTACCGTAAACGCAAGGACATGCCTTTTATCTATACATGGAGGCTATTTCCATTGTTTTTGCTCGCTTTTGGACTCCGTTCTTCGATTATGAATGCATGGCAGAGCGCCCATATAAATACTGATATTTTGCTGAAACTATTGACGTTTTGCTCGTTCTATTTCTGAATAAAGTATGCGCAGAGGTTAAACTACATGAAAAGTAGTGTTTCGTATGTTTAAACTTGGAAATGACCGTTCCGTGGTGGTCATCTATGGGACATCAGGTAGAATTTTCCAAACGACAAAACAAGTTCAGCCCACTTAAGCGAAGGAATCCCTATCTGCGTTATTACTGCATTTTAGGACACCAAATCTCACAGAACTGCTAATTGGACACTTAGGAACTGATAAAACGTCTGGTTTTCTTAAAATAACCTTTTTGTTAGCAAGTTGACTACCATGGGACATGTATTAGCATGGGAAATTGCACGAATATATTCCAAAGTCCATTTTCGCTCAAATTTACTGATATTTTACTTGATATAATTACGTCAACACAATTTCTGCACAAGAAAAGTACATTTTATTGAAGGAAGTGGATGAGCAAACACAATGTTCAACGTTAAAGGCGTCCAGAAATTCTCTCATCAGATTCCGTTATCAGAGTTCCTGAGATAGGTCACGCACTGTATGTGGACCGCATGCCTGTCGTCGAGAGCTCGGGTCCAGCTCTGGAGAGATTGCAGCAAGTTTGTCGTGCAGGATCCTTCTTTCCGAAACCAATGTTGGCAGTTCGATAGTAGGCCGTGAACTTTCAGGAAATGCATCAGTTCACTCTTTATGATCCTTTCCATAAAGTTGCAGAGAATGCATATCAAGCTTATGGGCCTGTAGATTGTTGTCGATACCCTGCTGCCTTCTTTGTATAGCGAAGTAATATGCGCCAGCTTCCAATCGGTAGGACGGGTTCCAGTGTCAAATGACGTTTGAAAGAGCATCGACAAAGGCACAGAAAGCTCACTGGCAAGTTCATTGAGAAGCTTGTGTAGAATTTCGTCTGGTTCTGGCGACTTCTTCTCGTTTAATGTCTGTAATTGTCTTCGGACCATGCCTTCTGAGAAGAGTATATCATTTATGCATGGGGTCGGCAGTTCTTCTGTGGAGGGAAGATGGAACCTTACCTCGTTTGTGTAGATTGATTGGAAAACTGTGAAAAATACGCAGCCTTATCCATACTATCATCAATCTCAACGCCATCAGTAGTCCTTATTACGGAGCTTTGATGACTGTTCCTTGTATTTCGTCGGAGGTAAATGTTAAGTAATTTTGGGTTCTACGTTGCTTTTTCTAGCAAAGTCTTCTCAAATTCCCGCCGCGTTTGCATGATCATGTTTCTCAGTTTGTTCCTCTGTGTCTTGTAGGTGTTAAAATATTCAACTTGCCCAGTGACGCAGTATTTTCTCCACAGTTTGTGTTTCCTGTTGATTTCTTTCTTAAAGTTAGTATTTTGCCACCCAGGGCGTTTGTCCAGTCTTACACTAGTCAGTGGGCAGTGG